ATATGATTCTCATAATGTCAATTAAAGTGTAGCATTTTTGTTTTACCTGTAATTTTAGTCTTTCTAAAATACAATAGAAACAAACGTTCTGCTGCTATGGAGGATAACTGATTTAGGACATGTTCTCTATGACTGCAATTGTACATATTTGGTGTGCAACAGGTAGTGTTTGTTTCATGGGTACATCGCTATGAAGGCAGTCAACAGATCTCATCTCCACACCTGCACTCGTTTGCCTAACCTTTCAAACACAAATACTCGGCCATCTGGTGTAACAGCAACGCCATACGGACCATTTATTTGACCAAGGCCTGCACCTTTACTACCAAAGTACCTTATGAACTGACCGTCTTGACTGAAGACTTGCACTCGGTGGTTATAATGATCACAGACAAGAAGCATTTCTTTACCAAACACAGCAAGTCCACGTACATTATTAAACTGACCGTCGTTGTTGCCTTTCATTCCAAACGTGTACAGTAGAACACCATTCTCGTCAAAAACATAAACAATGTTCACACCAATAAACGATACTAAGTACTTATTGTTGTCATAAGCTAATGAGAAAGGTGACCCATGACCATCATTAGGTACATCCAGTTTGATGTCATCAAGGTGATCATAACTGTGCTTATCAAAGCACTTTATAAATGTCTCTTTAGTATTCTTATTGTAACACAAGCACGCAATGGTTTGATTGGCTGTACACATTCTTCTCAATACCATTCTTTTAGGTAGTTTGATAAGAGTTCTTTTGTAGGTACCATCGATGTCAAATACCTTGATACAGTCACAATCATCTGGATTATCGGTGATGACTATTTTGTCCTCATTGAAGATGACTCCATATGGATAACTCAGCTGACCATCTCCTGATCCTGCACCACCAATGTCTCGCAAATACTCTCCATCAGCATTGAACAACACAACACGGAAATCCTTTATATAATCATTATTAACCACAGCAATGTCACCACTGTCACTTACATCAAGTGCAATAGGACTTGACATTCTATCTTTGACATCAATTATCTTCAAGGGTTTAAATTGTGCTTTAGCATCAATTGTGTCAATGTTCTGTGGTGAGTTTTTGATTTCTTTTCCTCCAATACTCACCACAACTTTGTACAGTGAAGGTTTCTCTGCTTTGTACTTCACTACAATTCTTCCAGTTTCAGTTTCCATCACTTCTTTCTCAACATCATTGCCATCAACATCTTGGATTTGTACATCAATCATACCTTCCCTGGTATGGCATATATCCCCTTGTGAATTTCTTGTCACGATCACAAATTCATTGATAAAACCACNTGGAAGCTGCTGTTGGTTGTGTTCGTCAGTCTTGGTCTTCATGACGTTGAAAAGCTGAAGCAGCGAGTTGTACGTAAACGAAGAAGGAAGCTTCGAGATGTCGTCTTCTTCGATCTTGACTACTGCTCTACAAGTTGGACATCTTAGCCTCTTCATTTCTTTGTGACAAGCTTCGTTCCAACTTTTGATGCATTTAAAGCAGAAAGTATGTAGACATTGTAGTGTCCTTGGATCAGTAAAGATATCGTTACAAATAGCACACGTTAACTGTGCTTCCAAGTCGTCAGTTAAAGTGTTAAGTCCCGCCATGTTGGTTTGACAAACTAGACAGATCACGAGACAAACGATATCTCCTCTCAGCTCTTCCAAAAATATCAAATGATACTGATTGCCATGGAAATATTGACAGTTGAGGTCAAACGTACATCACTACGACGTAAAACTCAGACACTAAAATATTTTGATATAAAATCACAACAAGTCACAAGAAATACTTGACCTATACGCTTGGTTTTTTCTTAGCTTTCCATTTTCAGTGTTTTTTTATTTTTTAAAGTTTCAGTGTTATTGAGTTTGCTAGTTTGTTTCCACATTCATATTAAACATTTTCTCTTTACTCACATAGTAAGSTYTACATGTTTTTTTGTTSAATTTTTAGTATTTTCTGATTTTATGGAGTCTTTATGATTTATTCTGAGCTCTCTCCAATTATGAAATAAAATGGTTTTCGTTTTACGTCATGTATWTAAAATCAACTTTCTCTTGGCAAAACTGAAAATGAAAATAAAGCAAAGAAAAGCAATAAGAAACAAAATGAATTTTCATAATATAAGAATTACATTGACTGCTAAAGAMGATTTCTCAAAAGAGTCAAACATGATTGTCGCTATAATGGTTTTACCGTTCAAGAAGGTTATTTTGTAGAAACACGTTCTGTATTGAAAAAAGTGCAAAATGTTGTGAGCCATGAAACATTAAAAATGTTTGGTCATGCAACGTACTATTGTATGACGTATTTCTTTATGTATTGCAAAGTCCTGTACTGTTGTATCTACACCAAAAACACGTTACATTCGGACACTTCTCATAGAAGGTCATTGTATTTACTGTGGTCAATCTTCTGGGATAGACCGTTTCTGAAAGTTTCTGAAAGAKTGGTCGTTCAAAGGGAGTTAACTGCAAACTGTAATAATCGCTAATATAAACTGGGCTTTTGTCAAACCTTTATTTACAAGCCCACATATTTAAGGCTTTGTGCGTTTTTTAACTATTTTTTTCCGTGTGGAAATGGATTGTGGTGATGAAGTTCCAGCAGTTGTCCACAATGATTGTCAAAGATGCCACAGTCTCAAGTTTATACCAAAACTCGTAAACTATTTTCTGCGCATGTTCGGCAAGATATCCCACATGTTCGGCTTAGTTTCTAATGTTTTAATACGTTATTACAATAGACATTGTGCAGAGAAGCCATTTTGTACAGCAAAGCATGATGGGACTTGTAATCAATAACCTTTATATAGCCCACTAAAAACGTATATTTTAAGCAATTTAAAAATAATAATAGTTAGTCCATCCAGTCCCTCGTGGTCCAACACAATGATAGCGGTTTAGGACGTGCGATTGATGATTCATATAAGAATTTCTCGTCCTTCAAAGACACGTATAACTTTATAGACACAGGTATACCGATATACCAGTTTTGACGCGTAGCACGCGTTGACTCGCTCGTAGCCACTACATATAAGAATTTCTCGTTCTCTAAAGACATGCGTAAATATATAGACACAGGTATATACCAATTGACCATTTTTGACGCGTAGTCACTACGTATAAGAATTTCTCGTTTTCTAAAGAC